TTCAGGGGACGACCATTTGATTCTGAAGAAGGGGATGGGGGCTGGCAAATTTTGTTGAATCAGATTATTTATTTTCAAACCTTCACAAGGAAGAATATTCATTTCTAAGAGAAGACAGGAGACAGATTATTTATTTTCTTCTAAACTGAAAAAAGTTTGACCCGCAAAAAAATGGGACTGGCCAAATTTAAAATTTTTATTTCACTGAGGTGGAGTGGGGGGCAATGTAAGTTTCTTATTTGCTTGCCATTGAAGGACAAATTATTTATTCTCAAGGACATGATACATACAGTGTTCTTAGAAATTATTGAGTTTTTTTTATAATATGTTTATCTAAAATAATGGATGAACAACTTACAATATAATTTAATGTTGCGATTTTTATTTTATGACAATATAACCTACTTTCTTATGATACATGCAGTTTTCATAGATAACCTCCCATTTATTTTATATACTTCCTGTTGTTTGCTTATGTTCAAAATTACTGCTTTTGAAAATACAAAGCCTATTTAAGTAATGAAGAAGCAAGGAATTGTTAAATCTGGTTATACTTCTGAAACACCGAATATTTCACTACCTACTTCATATTGTGTGATACAAAATATAAAAAAAGAGGAATGCAGTGAAGGAAAAGAGTTTATGGGCCTAGTAAACTAACATTCACAGATCAAAGAAAAGTTGGATATTTGCTCAGTAAGAACAGCACTAAATGTAGAAAAATGAGGTTTCATTTCTAGCACTACCAGCTCTCTCTCTCTCTCTCTCTCTCTCAATATTTTGTCCCATGTTAATCAATAGTAGATAGTGGAATACTCAGTGTTAGTTTTATTTATTTATTTACATGTAATTATAATTAGTCCATGAGTTTCATTGACAATATTTCAATCTTGACCTGTGTAATTTTTAAGAGATGTTAAAAACCAATTTTGTAAAATAAATAAATAAGAAACAAGAATTTGGCAGAATCTAAATTGTATAAAGCAGAGCCATTTGATGTTCACTCTGGACCTACTCATTTATGTCAGACACTGAACAACGGAAATCGAAAGTAGCCCCGGTATGCAAATTATTATATGTACAAGCCTTAAAGGTAATTACGAAGATAACGAACAGTGAACAATCTAAAAAATGCAGTAAAGAATACAAATCGCAAAAACGGGGTGGAAAAAAAACGAACACATGGAAGCACTAGAGGTTGAATCAGGTACCCGCCATGATCCCTCTGTGTTGTTCAGGGAAACTGAGAAATTCATACAATTAAATTTTATATGGTAAAATTAATAAAAACATTTCCTATTGCTGCATATATAAATTTGAATAAATGTAATTTATCATCAGATCATAGAAAAAGGCGTCATACACTGTATATCACATGAGGTGGGCCCTGACAAGTCAAGCCAAAATACTCATAGTTTCTCAACCAGGGTATTCTTGCAATTCAAAGTACTTCTCATCCATTATTTTCTCGGGGGATTTTAATATGGTTCGTCCAATATTTATTTACTTCCTAATTTATTTGTAAAGTAGCACACCTCTCTTCTTGACATTCAAAACCAAGAATATCTTTCATGCGATTAAATTTTGTCTGATAACTAGTCAGAGCTAAATGAAAGTAGAAAATGTAAAGATGAACTTAAAAACCTTCGTCAGGCATGCAGACGGACTGAGATAAACACTTTTAGCTACGATTTACTTACATAAGATAAATATCATACATACCTTGTAGATTTTGACCGTTGTTCTATAGGAAAAGAAATGAATATATAAATAGAATTTCAAATTTGTACCTTGGCTTGTCGTCTTAACCAAATTGTCAGGAATTTTAAAGTTTATTTAAAATAATTCATATTAAAGAATGCAATAAGATACAAAATGGTCCATAGAATATAAATATCTATACATTGGTAGACAGTAATGACAAAAAAGAAAATTATAATTAATTCAGAGTTAATTAAATAATAAGGTACAATTTAAGAGCATTTTAAAACCTAGTTTATTAAACGTAACCACCCCCGCCCCCTAAAAAAGGGGAACAAAACAATTTTAGACTTAACGTAGTTATATCGAATCCTCTCGATCCTTTATTTTTTAAACATTGTAAATTGGATGTTACAGAAGCATGAATTTTAACGTAAAACATGAACATTATAAAATTAAAAACTAGCATGCACCATAATCAGCGTTTTTTTTTTTTTTTTTTTTTTTTTTTTTTTGTTTTTTGTTTTTTTTTTAAATTATGGTTATTTCCATTCTTATGTCGATACGATATATCCTGGTGAGCTTGAGATAAAAGATACATGTACCACAGAGTCTGACACATCTGTTTCATATTTGGATATTTTACTTGAAAAAGACGTTAATAGTAATCTAACAATCAATCTTTATGATAAACGTGATGACTTTAACTTTTCAATCGTCAACTTACTTTACTTATGCAGCAATATGCCTTCATCACCTGCATACGGGATTTATATCTCTCATTTGATTCGATATGCAAGAGCATGCTCTACGTATGTACAATTTCTAAAATGAGGTAAATTATTGACAAACAAGTTGATGAAACAAGAATATCAGCAGTCTCGTTTAAAGTCATCATTTCGTAAGTTCTATGGTCGATACAATGACCTTGTCAGCAAATACAATTTATCATTGAGTCAAATGCTGACTGACGTTTTTCATACTAATCGTTAGGCCATTATTTACACACTGAATTGTCGACGGATTTTTCCGTTATTTCCCGATCATGACAAGGAGCATACGGCGGGTGTGACCGGTCGGCAGGGGATGCTCACTCCTCCGTGGCACCTGATCCCACCTCTGATGTTTTGGAGGTCCGTGTTTCCTCTGCTCCTATTTTGTTATGTTTAATGGACATTTGAGCTCGAGTACTGTTCTCCACATATTTCTTTAATGTAATTTCTAGATGAAATATATGAAGATAACGAACAGTATTCAAGCTCAAAAGTCATAGAATGAACAGCAAAACACTTTTTCTAAAACATTTGGAGCCCCCACCTCTCCCGATCCGCAAAGTAAAACTGGCCTGTAGTAAAAAAGTGACTCCCATCAAGCCACGAACCCCGTTTTCACTTAGATCCGACACTAATTTAGTGTTTCGGCGGTGTGATAACAGGCCAAGCAATAAATAGATATTCTATACTAATTATAATTAGTTATATAAGTCCGCCATCATCAGGAATCCACTTATATATATCAATATTGTATATTCATTTTATTTGTTTTATTATATACCGGTATGTTCTTTTTAAATAGTAGAACCGGTAAGGGAATTTCCCAAGGTCACGTAATGTTTAAATAATAAACACAGATGAAAGTTGTTTGTGTAAACAAATATGCAAGAAAGCGATAATTTGTTAACTGTCTCTGACTGAGATATGTCAGTAAATGATATGGTTGATTACATTGTAATTGACCAGTAAGTGAGGCTTTACTAACTTTTATTAAAGTTTTGAACTTGTTAGGAGATCTCCTAAACTCCTGTGTTTTTTATATGCTATAATTGGTTTGTCTTTGAATATATCTTTGAGTTCGGGCTCTCTTGATAGAGTGTGCCAGTATTTTAGCAATTTCTTTTTGATATTGCTAATGGCTGGGTTGTATTTTGTAACCATGACCAATGGTATATCAGAATTACTGTTTCAGAATTACTGCCGAAACACTAAATTAGTGTCGGATCTAAGTGAAAACGGGGTTCGTGGCTTGATGGGAGTCACTTTTTTACTACATTGAATCTAAGTGAAAACGGGGTTCGTGGCTTGATGGGAGTCACTTTTTTACTACATATTACGTCTGGACAATGTCCGAATGACTCTAACTGCTCGTGAATCGCCGACTTTGTCTGCGATCCGAACTTCCTTTCATTTGATCTAATCTAATTGATTTGTTTCGGCAAGAACTCGAAATTCACACCCTTTTGCCATTCTGACCACCCAAAAGTTGGTCATTATCACTCTGATTTCATCATGAACAGATTGTCACTCTCTAAAAAACAAAACATCAAAATGGATGTTGACGATTTACCTAGTAATCAAGAACAATTTGCAAAAATGCAAAATGAACTTGAAGACCAGTTCGATTATGGATTGAATCTAACAGATTTTGATTCACCCGATGTCAAATCGGACAATTTCTCTACTACTGTGTCCATTGCCTGTGATAAGTTCACTGAAAAACTGGGAACACGACACCAACTGGCCTGTGCCCGAGAGGGAATTTATTTTTCAATGAAAAATAATACGTTGCCACCATTCATGAAATGGAATATCAGCTGCAATCCCAATCTTGGAGATAAGGACATTGACATTTTGTTCCAATCTCTTTGGAAGGAAAAGGCTGATTCTTTGAAGAAGGAATTTATGCAAGAATCCATCAAATTCTTGGAGGATAAAATTGAAGAAACTAATAATCAATTAAAAGAAATCAGACATGAGGCTCTCCAAAAAATCGGAACAGCCACTTCCACCTCAGGATTAGCCCGAAACGAGCTTAATACCCGTATGAATGCCAGCAAGGAAAAATTTGATAAGGAACTGTTGCAATTTTGCACAGCAATAAGAACCAAACCTAAACAGGCGGCTGGAAAAAACAAATCCACTACCGGTACCTCATATAGAGGAGGCAAAGGCAATGGACATAAAGGGCGAAAATTTTCACCTTACTAAGTGACGTTAATGTCCATTTATAAATACTTGAGTGTATCACTCATGCGCAACTGAACTGATTCGCTATACTAAAGTGACTCTATTGTCCGATTATTATATTTGAGTGTATCACTCTTAACTCTAACGAACTTATCCCTATGGGAATTAGTCATTTCTTTAAAGTATCATTCGCTATTGATTACATACTGTGACAAATTATGTTCTGTGAATGAACAATGAATAAAATATTCATTTCCTTTGGAATTTTGCTATCTTATTGATATGCCTTTTGGTAAGGAAATTGTATTGTTAATTTTCTAATTGGTTAGTTCAAACATGATTACGTCTGGATTATTCAATAATTACATACAGGATTTGTACGCATGCGCTAGCGGCATTTTTTACCACGTGCGAAGGTTTGCTCACATTTTCACATACACAGCCAACAGAATGGCACGTCGTTTCGATCGAAACATCAAAAGAAGAAAACGATCTATTAGGGCAATGAAATACAAAGCCCGCAAAAATAGAAAGTTCTACTCCAATGTTCTTTATGCAAGAGAACATGTATTCAATCTGACCAAAAACAAGTTAACAGATAGTGAATACTTATTGTTAGCAAAAGAACTGAAATTCATCCCAACACCTTCGACAAAAGTCGCAAAAAACGACTTACTCAAGGATTTTGAGGAACTTGCACGTAAAATGAGATGTAAGTTCAATTTCAAGACTAACAACGATGAGATTCATCCTTTCTACACAAAGAGTGGATATGAACCACCTAAGATGATTGGTGCACTTGAAACCTACATCGATAAGACCAAACTTGAACTTTCCTCAATTCAAATAAAAAAATGCTCTGATAATTTATCTCAACTTGAGAGAAGAGCACTTAACCAGTTACGATATCGCCACGATATTGTAATTAAAAAGGCAGACAAAAACAACATATGTGTTGTTATGAACAAACACGATTATATTAAGGAGGGCGATCGCCAATTGAACACTAAATATTACGAAATAATTGACGATTTTGATTTATCAGTGCTCCAAAGGAATATTGAAAATAAAATCAATGAACTTAAGGCAAATGGGTATCTAGATAAAGTTACATATAGATTTTTAATGGATATTACGTATCCACGAATAGGTAGATTATACTTACTACCTAGACTTCACAAATTAGATCAGACGATGTTTGATCTTATCAAAGAACAGGGCCACTACAATCAAGAAATCATTTGCCCGGCACGACCTATTATCTCGCAATGCGGGTCGGCGACGGAACGAATCAGCCAATATGTTGATTACTTCCTAATACCAATAGTCAAAACACAATCCACTTACATCAGAGATAGCTCTGATTTCATAATGAAAGTAGAAAAACTTAGACCTCAAGCAGAATGCATAATGGTCAGTTATGATGTAACATCCCCGTATACAAATATGCAGTTCAACGAATTACTCACAGCTGTCAGTGAAGCATACTCTAAATTCAACAAAGGAGAATTTAAAATTCCTTCGCCACCTACAGAAGATCTTCTGTGGTTGTTACAAACAATATTAGAAAATAATGTCTTTGAATTTATTTCTAAGAAATATAAACAAATTATAGGCTGCGCAATGGGCTCAAAATGCAGTCCTGAAATGTGCGATATCAGAATGTATGAAGTCACTTCGGAAATTCTAAACAAATTTCCATTTCAACATAATATTGTTTATCACGGTCGATATCGAGATGATGGATTTATAATCTATCATGGGGAAATGGATGAAATTCATCAAGTTTTCCAAATAGCAAATTCACATCATCCTCTTTTAAAATTCACATATGAAATTTCTGACAAAGAAATGAACTTCCTTGACATCACCCTATTTAAGGGAGAAAGGTTTGAATTAGAAGGAATTCTTGATGTCAAAACTTTCATAAAACCTACTAATACTTTCCAGTATCTGGAACGCAATAGTGCACATAGCCCCTCTGTTTTCAAGGGAATCATTAAAGGCGAAATCATTCGTCATTTACGCAATACTAGCGATTCTAATATTTTTCATAATGCGATCGAGAAGTTCAAATTTTCTCTGTTGAAAAGAGGATATAATGAAAATGAGATTAACAGTTCAATGAACAATGTTCTAGAAAATTACAAAAGAGACCATTTAAATCAAAAAAAGAAAGTTAACAGTAATTCTGATATATCATTGGTCATGGTTACAAAATACAACCCAGCCATTAGCAATATCAAAAAGAAATTGCTAAAATACTGGCACACTCTATCAAGAGAGCCCGAACTCAAAGATATATTCAAAGACAAACCAATTATAGCATATAAAAAACACAGGAGTTTAGGAGATCTCCTAACAAGTTCAAAACTTTAATAAAAGTTAGTAAAGCCTCACTTACTGGTCAATTACAATGTAATCAACCATATCATTTACTGACATATCTCAGTCAGAGACAGTTAACAAATTATCGCTTTCTTGCATATTTGTTTACACAAACAACTTTCATCTGTGTTTATTATTTAAACATTACGTGACCTTGGGAAATTCCCTTACCGGTTCTACTATTTAAAAAGAACATACCGGTATATAATAAAACAAATAAAATGAATATACAATATTGATATATATAAGTGGATTCCTGATGATGGCGGACTTATATAACTAATTATAATTAGTATAGAATATCTATTTATTGCTTGGCCTGTTATCACACCGCCGAAACACTAAATTAGTGTCGGATCTAAGTGAAAACGGGGTTCGTGGCTTGATGGGAGTCACTTTTTTACTACAAGAATTGGTGATCAAGATGATTGAACACAATGAATCAAAATTTAAGTGTCCCAGTATCTCGACTATCGTCAGTATTATGTTTCGCCTAATTTCACAGGGTCAGATATTTCAAAATGATAAATCTTACCTTTAGTCGTCAAGTAATCCTGATAAATCTTTGAAGCACCTTTATATATACTTGAACAATTTGTTTTTGTTTAGATTCTTATTTAAAACATTTTCTCCTCTAGTCTTAGAGAATCACTTGTGACGCAGTCACAAAAAAAAAAAAAAAAAAAAAAAAAAAAAAAAAAAAAAAACTTAAGTCATTCCTAAGTAGGACCGCTACTCTAATTTCAAAAAGAAAACATTATGAAAAGTGGTAATTTCAGATATGGAAATTTAAAGTCAACGCAATACGTCGGCTATAATGTCAGATATTTAATGTTTCCTGCCGGACACAGAAATATAGCCGATGAATGTGCGACATTTCAACCCGAGGGAAAATAAGTATATCTCGCCATATTGTAACAATATGCACTTAAAGCTGAACACGACTCGTAAATAGACATACGCCATTTTCGATATTACTATCTACGATATCAGCACCGGGGTATACTCTTCGCATTCGTTACACCTGACTGATTTATTGTCACGGGTATCGGCGTGGAATGGCGTTCGTGCTGGTTATCTTGCATTACCTTTGTTTACATTTTATTGCAGTAACGTGTATTTGTGTTTGTTTGTATACTGCGCTGACCTGTGCAAATATTGAAAGTTTCTTTGGTATCTTACTCTCCTGCATAAGAAGAAGTACGCAGTCATTTTTTGTCGATACAGAGTGCTGTATAACCATACGTCCGTCTACACCGGTGACGATTGATTACACTGAACAATGACTAAGTGAGCGGCTTTATATAGGAGCACTCAGATATAGCGAGAGACCAATCGAATATGGCGGACACATTCCTTTTACGAATCGTGTTCAGCTTTAATCTCAATGCACTTGTACATATTATATCCAGCAACATTATGTGCCTTCCCTCACCGCCCGTATTGTTGAATCATATTAAGGGTTGTTTAAGGATATTTTTTTTAGTTTTTTGAATGCAATTCATGTGTAAATCAAATAGAGTTGTCACATAGACATATTTCGTAAAGCGCGATAAAGCGCTATAGTCTCAGTTTCTCTATGTGTTTGATATTCGTGAGTTCACACAAAAAAGCATTCAAATCAAAAATTACATTTCTAGATTCCATGAGATTGCTTGTTCACTAAAAACAAAATTTTAAAGCCATAAATGGCTTTTTTAAATAAGTTCAGAAAACCGAAATTAAAAAGATCTTTCTGTTTTATTACTTTTATTACATAAAGATAGGATTTTTCTGTAAATTACACGATTGAAATCAATAGCCTTTCAAAGATATTGACAATTTAAAACAATAAACAATAACCAATTTATTTACCTACTCCACATTTAAATAAGTGACAAATCTAAAGTAAATATAGACGAGTCTTAAAATTATCTAATAAATATTCATGACGTATGCGAAAACGAGGCTAAACTAGGCAAGCTACAATGGCGGCCTCCAGTAGCAGTGTAAACAACGTGCGAGATTTAACCACATTGCCGCACATTACATTTGCTTACGTCGAAAAATATATTAAATCTGCATCAGTTTCATCTGGATCTCAACAAATGTCCAAAGGATTCAAATACTACTCGGAACAATACATGCACTCTATGCGTAAGTTCAACAGTTCAATATATACTCCGAAGTTTTGTGAACAGTAAAGTCATTGCCCTGAAATTACATTTATCTTTAACATTTTAATGATAATAAGTGTCCCTTATAAAGAAATGTATATATATGTGTTCATTAATAGATTTTCACATTAATAAGTTAAATATGTTATATTGTAGTGCTTTGCATGACACAGGTGTTTGAGGACACAGGGCTAGGGGAAGGGGGGAGTAAACATTTTTATTAAAAAAAATGTTTGTTGTAAGTATTTTTTCATATTGATGATATGGATTAAATTACATATATGTCAGAAGATAAATTATGAGAAAGTAGAAAAAGTCCCAGGGGTCTGTAAGGGGGAAAGGGGAGATTCTGTCCTGAATTAAGCACCTACAGTTTGGTTCGATGAACTAGAAATTTTATTTATTGATTTTTATTTTATTTCTTATTTTCTATTATTTTTTTTAATTTTATTTGCAGTTTATGCAGACACAGTTGGTAGCTTTGTCCAAGCAAAATGTTACAGGTCCCAGAAAAAAAGTGAAAATCCACATGATGTAAAAGTTATGTTCCAGGACAGCGATATAGAAGAGGCCAGTTGCTCTTGTGTCATAGGGAAAAGCGGGAACTGTAAGCATGTCACAGCACTCTTGTACCAAATCGCAAACTACAAACAGTTAGATATAAAGTACATTCCCATCGATATTGCTAAAACTTCACTTCCTCAAACCTGGCACGTTTCAAGGGGAGAAAAGCTGCGCGGGGACAAAGTAGACAACATTGTGGTGCAAGGTTACGACCGCTCCAATCCATACCGTACAACAAAAGGAATCAAGTCGACGCTTTACAATCCCTTATCATCAGCTGATGACACTTTTGATGCACAGTCATTTACAGACAACACTAAGGGATCTCAACTCCTTTTTAGCACTTTGAATATAAGCATGAAAAGTGAATCACAACATTTTGTTCAAACTGACTTTGGTAAATTTCTAAGAGGATCTGTTCTGAGTTATCAACGTAAACTGTCCGCAGACTATGTCATTAATTTGTATGATAGTAATGACTTTCCAAATTTACCACTAAAAATGTGATGGAAAACCACATTTCTTTTGTGTTAAATGACCAACAGTTAAAGAAATTTGAATCACTTAAAATAACAGAGAAAGAAAGCTTAGAAATTGAACAGAGTACAAGGGACCAATCCAGGGATCCAAAGTGGCATAAACTGCGGCAATCAAGGATCACAGCATCTTCAGCAGGGGAAATCGCAAAGATACGAGCAGGTATTTGCAGAAATTAGGCACTTCTAATTCTTATCTTAATTACAATATCTTTGAATCCCTTTCGTATATGGGACACCTATATAAGATTTACTGAACTGTTACTATTATTAAAATAATATGGATTTGTGCACATGAGAAAATGTCTTTTAAAGAAGTAGTGCACATTATAAAGAAAAAAATAAGTTCAAATGATTTCTTAAATTTTAAATTCATATTACTTTTGAAGCATCTTTGTACTACAGTATGTAAATAGGCAGTCTATTTAAAATTATTTGATTTTTATTTCTTGAAGATGGATGTAAGCTTGCAGAGAGGCTGATGACAGTTCGTCATGTACAAACAGCAGCAATGAAAGGAGGCTTAGAATTTGAAAGCACTGCTGCACAAAAATATAGCAAGGTACACTGTATATGAAAGTTATTTAATAATTATTAATGAACTACAAAAAGCTTTTATCATATTATATCATATATGTATAACGTTTGCTGGAAGTTGAAATGTAGTTACATTGGAAGGAGAGAATTGTAATCTTGTTAATTTTTTTTTAATATAGGTTATGGACGATGGTGTCAATTTGTATCCATCTGGTGTGGTCATTAGTCCCTATTGTCACTGGATGGCAGCAACCCCGGATAGAAAGGTGTACTGCCCATCAAGGAATCCACCATATGGTCTGCTAGAAATCAAGTGCCCAAGCTGTGAAGCCCTGAGTGATGTGAAATGTCTTAAGCGAAAAGATGATGCTTTACATTTAAAAAAGAATGACAATTATTACTACCAAGTTCAAATGCAGATGGCTGTTACAGGGGTAGAATGGTGTGACTTTTTAATTTGGCTAGATAATGAATTTCACTAAGAAACAATTTATTTTGATGGGGAATTTTGGAACATGGCCAAGGACAAGCTTGATATGTTTTATTTTAATTATTTTTTATGATCATTTACTTGTAAAAACAAATTACAATGAAAAACATGAAAAGTGACCAATTTTTATGTTTTATTAATGGTCTTCTGAACAAGAATAAAATGTTAGCAACTGTCCACAACTGATTAATAGACCCTGCAATAGACAATGGCACTACTGATTGCAAAAGCTTGTACTCTTTAATACGCTTAATATGTCTCTCCACATGTAGCGGGATAAATGTAAGTTCCTATTATCGCCGCTAACAATATGTTCATGGCGAAAAAAATTACTGTTACACTCATCCCACATGCGTATGTGACATACACATGTTAGAGTCATCGGAAGATTTAATTCTTTGAATAGAAAATTTCCTAACCAGATCATGATCTTCACTTCTTAAATAGTTTGTTGTTGTTTGTTTGTTGTTTAACGTCCCTCTCGAGAATTTTTCACTCATATGGAGACGCCACCACATGCCGGTGGAGAGCTGCAATTTTTTTTACCTATACTCGGCACTTAGGGCCATTCAGCAGTGAGGGATCTTTTTCGTGCCAGCACCTACTGCGACACGGGACCTCGATTTATACGGTCTCATCCGAAGGACCGGTCTCCACGTCCCACAGTGGGATTCGATCCTCCGACGTAAGGATCAACTCCTTACTCCG